GTTAGTTTTAAGAGGTGGGCAAACGTTTTTTGTTAAAAATATTTAGTTTTAGAGGGTGGGCAAACGTTATAATTTTGAAAAATTTTCAAAGTTGAATATTTTCAAAACTGGACGTGGTCAAAAAAAAGTAAAGGGTGGGCAAACATGGGCAAACGAATGGGCAAACGATTCCAGTTTTCAAAATTTTAAAATTCAAAATTTCCTAGTACAATTTTGAAAATTTTCTAAACTTGAAGTTTTTTCAAAATTCTAAAGGGTGGGCAAACGTGGGCAAACGATGTTATTGCGATTTCCAAAAAAAAATTTTGAAAAAAGTCAACTTTTGGTTTTTCGAAAAATGATGAAAATTTTCAAAGTCGAATATTTTCAAAACTGGACGTGGGCAAAAAAAAGTAAAAGGTGGGCAAACATGGGCAAACGATGGGCAAACGATTCCAGCTTTCAAATTTAAAAAAAAAAAATTTTCCGACCCCAGCTTCTTTGAGCTAATAGGTTTTACTGATCCAAGATGAGACTTTGGTTTGTCGTCCAGTTTAATAGGGGCTTTGACATCCTTATCGTCAATGGGCATCGGTTTGTCATCTTCTTTCAGAGGAGATTTATCCCCAATTTTGTCACCTTGGAAACTTGAGACAGGATCTGATGGCTTAATTATACCAACTGATTTGAAAATAGTGCTTTCGGAGTGAAGTGTTGTTGAGCTTTCATCTACTTTTGAAATTGAAACAGTAGGCTTAAGTTCTTCTTTCAGAAGAGATTTATCATCAACGCGGCTAAAGGGATCTGCGGATGGAGTTGGCTGACCAACAGTCTTGTCTTGGGGCTTCGGAATTCCAAACTCTTCATCGCTTTCATCGTCCGAGTATTCTTGTTGAATAGGTTTTACTGATCCAAGAGGAGACTTTGATTTATCGTCTTGTTTAGTAGGGGCTTTGTCATCCTTATCGTCAATGGGCTTCGGCTTGTCAGCTTCTTTAAGAGGAGATTTATCCCCAATATGGTCACCTTGGAAACTTGAGAAAGGATCTGATGCCTTAATTATACCAACTGGTTTGAAAATAGTGCTCTCGGAGTGAAGTGTTGTTGAGCTTTCTTCTACTTTTGAAATTAAAACAGTAGGCTTAAGTTCTTCTTTCAGAAGAGATTTATCATCAACGCCGCTAAAGGGAGCTACTGTAGGAGTTGGCTGACCAACAGTCTTGTCTTGGGGCTTGGGAATTCCAAACTCTTCATCGCTTTCATCGTCCGAGTATTCTTGTTGAATAGGTTTTACTGATCCAAGATGAGACTTTGGTTTGTCGTCCAGTTTAATAGGGGCTTTGACATCCTTATCGTCAATGGGCATCGGTTTGTCATCTTCTTTCAGAGGAGATTTATCCCCAATTTTGTCACCTTGGAAACTTGAGACAGGATCTGATGGCTTAATTATACCAACTGATTTGAAAATAGTGCTTTCGGAGTGAAGTGTTGTTGAGCTTTCATCTACTTTTGAAATTGAAACAGTAGGCTTAAGTTCTTCTTTCAGAAGAGATTTATCATCAACGCCGCTAAAAGGAGCTACTGAAGGAGTTGGCTGACCAACAGTCTTGTCTTGGGGCTTGGGAATTCCAAACTCTTCATCGCTTTCATCGTCCGAATATTCTTGTTGAATAGGTTTTACTGAATCAAGAGTAGACTTTGGTTTGTCGTCCAGTTTAGTAGGGGCTTTGTCATACTTAGCGTCATTTGGCTTCGGTTTGTCTGCTTCCTTTAGAGGAGATTTTTCACTAACGGCGCTAAAGGGAGCTACTGATGGAGTTGGCTGACCAACAGTCATGTCTTGGGGCTTGAGAATTCCAAACTCTTCATCGCTTTCATCGTCCGAATATTCTTGTTGAAAAGGTTTTACTGATACAAGAGGTGACTTTGATTTATCGTCTTGTTTAGTAGGGGCTTTGTCATCCTTATCGTCAATGGGCTTCGGTTTGTCATCTTCTTTAAGAGGAGATTTATCCCCAATATGGTCACCTTGGAAACTTGAGAAAGGATCTGATGCCTTAATTATACCAACTGGTTTGAAAATAGTGCTCACGGAGTGAAGTGTTGTTGAGCTTTCTTCTACTTTTGAAATTGAAACAGTAGGCTTAAGTTCTTCTTTCAGAAGAGATTTATCATCAACGCCGCTAAAGGGAGCTACTGAAGGAGTTGGCTGACCAACAGTCTTGTCTTGGGGCTTGGGAATTCCAAACTCTTCATCGCTTTCATCGTCCGAATATTCTTGTTGAATAGGTTTTACTAAATCAAGAGGAGACTTTGGTTTGTCGTCCAGTTTAGTAGGGGCTTTGTCATACTTAGCGTCAATTGGCTTCGGTTTGTCTGCTTCCTTTAGAGGAGATTTTTCACTAACGGCGCTAAAGGGAGCTGTGGATGGAGTTGGCTGACCAACAGTCATGTCTTGGGGCTTGGGAATTCCAAACTCTTCATCGCTTTCATCGTCCGAGTATTCTTGTTGAATAGGTTTTTCTGATCCAAGAGGTGACTTTGACTTATCGGCTAGTGTGGTTGGGGCTTTGTCATCTTTAATGTCAATTGGCTTCGGTTTGTCTGCTTCTTTTAGAGGAGATTTTTCACTAACGGCGCTAACAGGAGTTGCGGATGGAGTTGGCTGACCAAAAGTCTTGTCTTGGGGCTTGGGAATTCGAAACTCTTCATCGGTTTTATCGTCGGAGTATTCTTGTTGAATAGGTTTTACTGATACAAGAGGAGACTTTGGTTTGTCGTCCAGTTTAGTAGGGGCTTTGCCATCCTTAGCGTTAATTGGCTTCGGTTTGTCTGCTTCCTTTAGAGGAGATTTTTCACTAACGGCGCTAAAGGGAGCTACTGATGGAGTTGGCTGACCAACAGTCATGTCTTGGGGCTTGGGAATTCCAAACTCTTCATCGCTTTCATCGTCCGAGTATTCTTGTTGAATAGGTTTTTCTGATCCAAGAGGTGACTTTGACTTATCGGCTAGTGTGGTTGGGCCTTTGTCATCTTTAATGTCAATTGGCTTCGGTTTGTCTGCTTCCTTTAGAGGAGATTTTTTACTAACAGCGCTAAATGGAGCTACTGATGGAATTGGCTGACCAACAGTCATGTCTTGGGGCTTGGGAATTCCAAACACTTCATCGCTTTCATCGTCCGAATATTCTTGTTGAAAAGGTTTTACTGAATCAAGAAGAGACTTTGGTTTGTCGTCCAGTTTAGTAGGGGCTTTGTCATCCTTAGCGTTAATTGGCTTCGGTTTGTCTGCTTCCTTTAGAGGAGATTTTTCACTAACGGCGCTAAAGGGAGCTACTGATGGAGTTGGCTGACCAACAGTCATGTCTTGGGGCTTGGGAATTCCAAACTCTTCATCGATTTCATCGTCCGAGTATTCTTGTTGAATAGGTTTAACTAAATCAAGAGGTGATTTTGGTTTGTCGTCCACTTTACTAGGGGCTTTGTCATCCTTAACCTCAATGGGCATCGGTTTCTTTGTTTCCTTTAGAGGAGATTTTTTACTAACAGCGCTAAATGGAGCTACTGATGGAGTTGGCTGACCAACAGTCATGTCTTGGGGCTTGGGAATTCCAAACTTTTCAGCGCTTTCATCGTCAGAGTATTCTTGTTGAATAAGTTTTACTGAATCAAGAGGAGACTTTGGTTTGTCGTCCAGTTTAGTTGGGGGTTTGTCATCCTTAACGTCAATGGGCATCGGTTTGTCACCTTCTTTAAGAGGAGATTTATCCCCAATTTTGTCACCTTGGAAACTTGAGAAAGGATCTGATGGCTTAATTATACCAACTGATTTGAAAATACTGCTCTCAGAGTGAAGTGTTGTTGAGCTTTCTTCTACTTTTGAAATTGAAACAGTAGGCTTAAGTTCTTCTTTCAGAAGAGATTTATCATCAACGCCGCTAAAGGCAGCTACTGAAGGAGTTGGCTGACCAACAGTCTTGTCTTGGGGCTTCGGAATTGCAAACTCTTCAGCGCTTTCATCGTCAGAGTATTCTTGTTGAATAAGTTTTACTGAATCAAGAGGAGACTTTGGTTTGTCGTCCAGTTTAGTAGGGGCTTTGTCATCCTTAACGTCAATGGGCATCGGCTTGTCTGCTTCTTTTAATGGAGATTTTTCACTAACGGCGCTAAAGGGAGCTGTGGATGGAGTTGGCTGAGCCACAGTCTTGTCTTGGGGCTTCGGAATTCCAAACTCTTCATCGCTTTCATCGTCCGAGTATTGTTGTTGAATAGGTTTTACTGATCCAAGAGGAGACTTTGATTTATCGTCTTGTTTAGTAGGGCTTTGTCATCCTTATCGTCAATGGGCTTCGGTTTGTCATCTTCTTTAAGAGGAGATTTATCCCCAATATGGTCACCTTGGAAACTTGAGAAAGGATCTGATGGCTTAATTATACCAACTGATTTGAAAATAGTGCTCTCGGAGTGAAGTGTTGTTGAGCTTTCTTCTACTTTTGAAATTAAAACAGTAGGCTTAAGTTCTTCTTTCAGAAGAGATTTATCATCAACGCCGCTAAAGGGAGCTACTGAAGGAGTTGGCTGACCAACAGTCTTGTCTTGGGGCCTGGGAATTCCAAACTCTTCATCGCTTTCATCGTCCGAATATTCTTGTTGAATAGGTTTTACTGAATCAAGAGGAGACTTTGGTTTATCGTCCAGTTTAGTAGGGGCTTTGTCATCCTTAACGTCAATGGGCATCGGTTTGTCTGCTTCTTTAAGAGGAGATTTATCCCCAATATGGTCACCTTGGAAACTTGAGAAAGGATCTGATGGCTTAATTATACCAACTGATTTGAAAATAGTGCTCTCGGAGTGAAGTGTTGTTGAGCTTTCTTCTACTTTTGAAATTAAAACAGTAGGCTTAAGTTCTTCTTTCAGAAGAGATTTATCATCAACGCCGCTAAAGGGAGCTACTGAAGGAGTTGGCTGACCAACAGTCTTGTCTTGGGCCTGGGAATTCCAAACTCTTCATCGCTTTCATCGTCCGAATATTCTTGTTGAATAGGTTTTACTGAATCAAGAGGAGACTTTGGTTTGTCGTCCAGTTTAGTAGGGGCTTTGTCATCCTTAACGTCAATGGGCATCGGTTTGTCTGCTTCCTTTAGAGGAGATTTTTCACTAACGGCGCTAAAGGGAGCTGTGGATGGAGTTGGCTGAGCCACAGTCTTGTCTTGGGGCTTCGGAATTCCAAACTCTTCATCGCTTTCATCGTCCGAGTATTGTTGTTGAATTAGTTTACTGAATCAAGAGGAGACTTTGGTTTGTCGTCCAGTTTAGTAGGCGCTTTGTCATCCTTAACGTCAATGGGCATCGGTTTGTCTGCTTCTTTAAGAGGAGATTTATCCCCAATTTTGTCACGTTGGAAACTTGAGAAAGGATCTGATGGCTTAATTTTACCAACTGATTTGAAAATAGTGCTCTCAGAGTGAAGTGTTGTTGAGCTTTCTTCTACTTTGAAATTGAAACAGTAGGCTTAAGTTCTTCTTTCAGAAGAGATTTATCATCAACGCCGCTAAATGCAGCTACTGAAGGAATTGGCTGACCAACAGTCTTGTCTTGGGGCTTCGGAATTGCAAACTCTTCAGCGCTTTCATCGTCAGAGTATTCTTGTTGAATAAGTTTTACTGAATCAAGAGGAGACTTTGGTTTGTCGTCCAGTTTAGTAGGGGCTTTGTCATCCTTAACGTCAATGGGCATCGGTTTGTCTGCTTCTTTTAAAGGAGATTTTTCACTAACGGCGCTAAAGGGAGCTGTGGATGGAGTTGGCTGACCAACAGTCTTGTCTTGGGGCTTCGGAATTCCAAACTCTTCATCGCTTTCATCGTCCGAGTATTCTTGTTGAATAGGTTTTATTGAATCAAGAGAAGACTTTGGTTTGTCGTCCAGTTTAGTAGGGGCTTTGTCATCCTTAACGTCAATGGGCATCGGTTTGTCTGCTTCTTTTAAAGGAGATTTTTCTATAACGGCGCTAAAGGGAGCTGTGGATGGAGTTGGCTGAGCCACAGTCTTGTCTTGGGGCTTCGGAATTCCAAACTCTTCATCGCTTTCATCGTCCGAGTATTCTTGTTCAATAGGTTTCACTGAATCAAGAGGAGACTTTGGTTTGTCGTCCAGTTTAGTAGGGGCTTTGTCATCCTTAACGTCAATGGGCATCGGTTTGTCTGCTTCCTTTAGAGGAGATATTTCACTAACGGCGCTAAAGGGAGCTGTGGATGGAGTTGGCTGAGCCACAGTCTTGTCTTGGGGCTTCGGAATTGCAAACTCTTCAGCGCTTTCATCGTCCGAATATTCTTGTTGAAAAGGTTTTACTGAATCAAGAGGAGACTTTGGTTTGTCGTCCAGTTTAGTAGGGGCTTTGTCATCCTTAGCGTTAATTGGCTTCGGTTTGTCTGCTTCCTTTAAAGGAGATTTTCACTAACGGCGCTAAAGGAGCTACTGATGGAGTTGGCTGACCAACAGTCTTGTCTTGGGGCTTGGGAATTCCAAACTCCTCATCGCTTTCATCGTCCGAATATTCTTGTTGAATAGGTTTTACTGAATCAAGAGGAGACTTTGGTTTATCGTCCAGTTTAGTAGGGGCTTTGTCATCCTTAACGTCAATGGGCATCGGTTTGTCTGCTTCCTTTAGAGGAGATTTTTCACTAACGGCGCTAAAGGGAGCTGTGGATGGAGTTGGTTGAGCCACAGTCTTGTCTTGGGGCTTCGGAATTCCAAACTCTTCATCGCTTTCATCGTCCGAGTATTGTTGTTGAATTAGTTTTACTGAATCAAGAGGAGACTTTGGTTTGTCGTCCAGTTTAGTAGGGGCTTTGTCATCCTTAACGTCAATGGGCATCGGTTTGTCTGCTTCTTTAAGAGGAGATTTATCCCCAATTTTGTCACCTTGGAAACTTGAGAAAGGATCTGATGGCTTAATTATACCAACTGATTTGAAAATAGTGTTCTCAGAAAGAAGTGTTGTTGAGCTTTCTTCTACTTTTGAAATTGAAACAGTAGGCTTAAGTTCTTCTTTCAGAAGAGATTTATCATCAACGCCGCTAAAGGGAGCTACTGAAGGAGTTGGCTGACCAACAGTCTTGTCTTGGGGCCTGGGAATTCCAAACTCTTCATCGCTTTCATCGTCCGAATATTCTTGTTGAATAGATTTTACTGAATCAAGAGGAGACTTTGGTTTATCGTCCAGTTTAGTAGGGGCTTTGTCATCCTTAACGTCAATGGGCATCGGTTTGTCTGCTTCTTTAAGAGGAGATTTATCCCCAATTTTGTCACCTTGGAAACTTGAGAAAGGATCTGATGGCTTAAATATACCAACTGATTTGAAAATAGTGCTCTCAGAAAGAAGTGTTGTTGAGCTTTCTTCTACTTTTGAAATTGAAACAGTAGGCTTAAGTTCTTCTTTCAGAAGAGATTTATCATCAACGCCGCTAAAGGGAGCTATTGAAGGAGTTGGCTGACCAACAGTCTTGTCTTGGGGCCTGGAATTCCAAACTCTTCATCGCTTTCATCGTCCGAATATTCTTGTTGAATAGGTTTTACTGAATCAAGAGGAGACTTTGGTTATCGTCCAGTTTAGTAGGGGCTTTGTCATCCTTAACGTCAATGGGCATCGGTTTGTCTGCTTCCTTTAGAGGAATTTTTCACTAACGGCGCTAAAGGGAGCTGTGGATGGAGTGGCTGAGCCACAGTCTTGTCTTGGGGCTTCGGAATTCCAAACTCTTCATCGCTTTCATCGTCCGAGTATTGTTGTTGAATTAGTTTTACTGAATCAAGAGGAGACTTTGGTTTGTCGTCCAGTTTAGTAGGCGCTTTGTCATCCTTAACGTCAATGGGCATCGGTTTGTCTGCTTCTTTAAGAGGAGATTTATCCCCAATTTTGTCACCTTGGAAACTTGAGAAAGGATCTGATGGCTTAATTATACCAACTGATTTGAAATAGTGCTCTCAGAGTGAAGTGTTGTTGAGCTTTCTTCTACTTTGAAATTGAAACAGTAGGCTTAAGTTCTTCTTTCAGAAGAGATTTATCATCAACGCCGCTAAAGGCAGCTACTGAAGGAGTTGGCTGACGAACAGTCTTGTCTTGGGCTTCGGAATTGCAAACTCTTCAGCGCTTTCATCGTCAGAGTATTCTTGTTGAATAAGTTTTACTGAATCAAGAGGAGACTTTGGTTTGTCGTCCAGTTTAGTAGGGGCTTTGTCATCCTTAACGTCAATGGGAATCGGTTTGTCTGCTTCCTTTAGAGGAGATTTTTCACTAACGGCGCTAAAGGAGCTGTGGATGGAGTTGGCTGAGCCACAGTCTTGTCTTGGGGCTTCGGAATTCCAAACTCTTCATCGCTTTCATCGTCCGAGTATTGTTGTTGAATTAGTTTTACTGAATCAAGAGGAGACTTTGGTTTGTCGTCCAGTTTAGTAGGCGCTTTGTCATCCTTAACGTCAATGGGCATCGGTTTGTCTGCTTCTTTAAGAGGAGATTTATCCCCAATTTTGTCACCTTGGAAACTTGAGAAAGGATCTGATGGCTTAATTATACCAACTGATTTGAAAATAGTGCTCTCAGAAAGAAGTGTTGTTGAGCTTTCTTCTACTTTTAAAATTGAAACAGTAGGCTTAAGTTCTTCTTTCAGAAGAGATTTATCATCAACGCCGCTAAAGGAGCTACTGAAGGAGTTGGCTGACCAACAGTCTTGTCTTGGGGCCTGGGAATTCCAAACTCTTCATCGCTTTCATCGTCCGAATATTCTTGTTGAATAGGTTTTACTGAATCAAGAGGAGACTTTGGTTTATCGTCCAGTTTAGTAGGGGCTTTGTCATCCTTAACGTCAATGGGCATCGGTTTGTCTGCTTCTTTAAGAGGAGATTTATCCCCAATTTTGTCACCTTGGAAACTTGAGAAAGGATCTGATGGCTTAATTATACCAACTGATTTGAAAATAGTGCTCTCAGAAAGAAGTGTTGTTGAGCTTTCTTCTACTTTTGAAATTGAAACAGTAGGCTTAAGTTCTTCTTTCAGAAGAGATTTATCATCAACGCCGCTAAAGGGAGCTACTGAAGGAGTTGGCTGACCAACAGTCTTGTCTTGGGGCCTGGGAATTCCAAACTCTTCATCGCTTTCATCGTCCGAATATTCTTGTTGAATAGGTTTTACTGAATCAAGAGGAGACTTTGGTTTATCGTCCAGTTTAGTAGGGGCTTTGTCATCCTTAACGTCAATGGGCATCGGTTTGTCTGCTTCCTTTAGAGGAGATTTTTCACTAACGGCGCTAAAGGGAGCTGTGGATGGAGTTGGCTGAGCCACAGTCTTGTCTTGGGGCTTCGGAATTCCAAACTCTTCATCGCTTTCATCGTCCGAGTATTGTTGTTGAATTAGTTTTACTGAATCAAGAGGAGACTTTGGTTTGTCGTCCAGTTTAGTAGGCGCTTTGTCATCCTTAACGTCAATGGGCATCGGTTTGTCTGCTTCTTTAAGAGGAGATTTATCCCCAATTTTGTCACCTTGGAAACTTGAGAAAGGATCTGATGGCTTAATTATACCAACTGATTTGAAAATAGTGCTCTCAGAGTGAAGTGTTGTTGAGCTTTCTTCTACTTTTGAAATTGAAACAGTAGGCTTAAGTTCTTCTTTCAGAAGAGATTTATCATCAACGCCGCTAAAGGGAGCTACTGAAGGAGTTGGCTGACCAACAGTCTTGTCTTGGGGCCTGGGAATTCCAAACTCTTCATCGCTTTCATCGTCCGAATATTCTTGTTGAATAGGTTTTACTGAATCAAGAGGAGACTTTGGTTTATCGTCCAGTTTAGTAGGGGCTTTGTCATCCTTAACGTCAATGGGCATCGGTTTGTCTGCTTCTTTAAGAGGAGATTTATCCCCAATTTTGTCACCTTGGAAACTTGAGAAAGGATCTGATGGCTTAATTATACCAACTGATTTGAAAATAGTGCTCTCAGAAAGAAGTGTTGTTGAGCTTTCTTCTACTTTTGAAATTGAAACAGTAGGCTTAAGTTCTTCTTTCAGAAGAGATTTATCATCAACGCCTCTAAAGGCAGCTACTGAAGGAGTTGGCTGACCAACAGTCTTGTCTTGGGGCTTCGGAATTGCAAACTCTTCAGCGCTTTCATCGTCAGAGTATTCTTGTTGAATAAGTTTTACTGAATCAAGAGGAGACTTTGGTTTGTCGTCCAGTTTAGTAGGGGCTTTGTCATCCTTAACGTCAATGGGCATCGGTTTGTTTGCTTCCTTTAGAGGAGATTTTTCACTAACGGCGCTAAAGGAAGCTACTGATGGAGTTGGCTGAGCCACAGTCTTGTCTTGGGGCTTCGGAATTCCAAACTCTTCATCGCTTTCATCGTCCGAATATTCTTGTTGAAAAGGTTTACTGAATCAAGAGGAGACTTTGGTTTGTCGTCCAGTTTAGTAGGGGCTTTGTCATCCTTAGCGTTAATTGGCTTCGGTTTGTCTGCTTCCTTTAAAGGAGATTTTTCACTAACGGCGCTAAAGGAAGCTACTGATGGAGTTGGCTGACCAACAGTCTTGTCTTGGGGCTTGGGAATTCCAAACACTTCATCGCTTTCATCGTCCGAATATTCTTGTTGAATAGGTTTAACTAAATCAAGAGGTGATTTGGTTTATCGTCCAGTTTACTAGGGGCTCTGTCATCCTTAACGTCAATGGGCATCGGTTTGTCTGCTTCCTTTAGAGGAGATTTTTCTATAACGGCGCTAAAGGGAGCTGTGGATGGAGTTGGCTGACCAAAAGTCTTGTCTTGGGGCTTGGGAATTCCAAACTCTTCATCGCTTTCATCGTCCGAATATTCTTGTTGAATAGGTTTTTCTGATCCAAGAGGTGACTTTGATTGTCGGCTAGTGTGGTTGGGGCTTTGTCATCTTTAATGTCAATTGGCTTCGGTTTGTCTGCTTCTTTTAGAGGAGATTTTTCACTAACGGCGCTAACAGGAGCTGCGGATGGAGTCGGCTGACCAAAAGTCTTGTCTTGGGGCTTGGGAATTCGAAACTCTTCATCGCTTTCATCGTCCGAATATTCTTGTTGAAAAGGTTTTACTGAATCAAGAGGAGACTTTGGTTTGTCGTCCAGTTTAGTAGGGGCTTTGTCATACTTAGCGTCAATTGGCTTCGGTTTGTCTGCTTCCTTTAGAGGAGATTTTTCACTAACGGCGCTAAAGGGAGCCACTGATGGAGTTGGCTGACCAACAATCATGTCTTGGGGCTTGGGAATTCCAAACTCTTCATCGCTTTCATCGTCCGAATATTCTTGTTGAAAAGGTTTTACTGAATCAAGATGAGACTTTGGTTTGTCGTCCAGTTTAGTAGGGGCTTTGTCATCCTTAACGTCAATGGGCATCGGTTTGTCTGCTTCTTTTAAAGGAGATTTTCACTAACGGCGCTAAAGGGAGCTGTGGATGGAGTTGGCTGAGCCACAGTCTTGTCTTGGGGCTTCGGAATTGCAAACTCTTCAGCGCTTTCATCGTCCGAATATTCTTGTTGAAAAGGTTTTACTGAATCAAGAGGAGACTTTGGTTTGTCGTCCAGTTTAGTAGGGGCTTTGTCATCCTTAGCGTTAATTGGCTTCGGTTTGTCTGCTTCCTTTAAAGGAGATTTTTCACTAACGGCGCTAAAGGGAGCTACTGATGGAGTTGGCTGACCAACAGTCTTGTCTTGGGGCCTGGGAATTCCAAACTCTTCATCGCTTTCATCGTCCGAATATTCTTGTTGAATAGGTTTTACTGAATCAAGAGGAGACTTTGGTTTATCGTCCAGTTTAGTAGGGGCTTTGTCATCCTTAACGTCAATGGGCATCGGTTTGTCTGCTTCTTTAAGAGGAGATTTATCCCCAATTTTGTCACCTTGGAAACTTGAGAAAGGATCTGATGGCTTAATTATACCAACTGATTTGAAAATAGTGCTCTCAGAAAGAAGTGTTGTTGAGCTTTCTTCTACTTTTGAAATTGAAACAGTAGGCTTAAGTTCTTCTTTCAGAAGAGATTTATCATCAACGCCTCTAAAGGCAGCTACTGAAGGAGTTGGCTGACCAACAGTCTTGTCTTGGGGCTTCGGAATTGCAAACTCTTCAGCGCTTTCATCGTCAGAGTATTCTTGTTGAATAAGTTTTACTGAATCAAGAGGAGACTTTGGTTTGTCGTCCAGTTTAGTAGGGGCTTTGTCATCCTTAACGTCAATGGGCATCGGTTTGTTTGCTTCCTTTAGAGGAGATTTTTCACTAACGGCGCTAAAGGAAGCTACTGATGGAGTTGGCTGAGCCACAGTCTTGTCTTGGGGCTTCGGAATTCCAAACTCTTCATCGCTTTCATCGTCCGAATATTCTGTTGAAAAGGTTTTACTGAATCAAGAGGAGACTTTGGTTTGTCGTCCAGTTTAGTAGGGGCTTTGTCATCCTTAGCGTTAATTGGCTTCGGTTTGTCTGCTTCCTTTAAAGGAGATTTTTCACTAACGGCGCTAAAGGAAGCTACTGATGGAGTTGGCTGACCAACAGTCTTGTCTTGGGGCTTGGGAATTCCAAACACTTCATCGCTTTCATCGTCCGAATATTCTTGTTGAATAGGTTTAACTAAATCAAGAGGTGATTTTGGTTTATCGTCCAGTTTACTAGGGGCTTTGTCATCCTTAACGTCAATGGGCATCGGTTTGTCTGCTTCCTTTAGAGGAGATTTTTCTATAACGGCGCTAAAGGGAGCTGTGGATGGAGTTGGCTGACCAAAAGTCTTGTCTTGGGGCTTGGGAATTCCAAACTCTTCATCGCTTTCATCGTCCGAATATTCTTGTTGAATAGGTTTTTCTGATCCAAGAGGTGACTTTGATTTGTCGGCTAGTGTGGTTGGGGCTTTGTCATCTTTAATGTCAATTGGCTTCGGTTTGTCTGCTTCTTTTAGAGGAGATTTTTCACTAACGGCGCTAACAGGAGCTGCGGATGGAGTCGGCTGACCAAAAGTCTTGTCTTGGGGCTTGGGAATTCGAAACTCTTCATCGCTTTCATCGTCCGAATATTCTTGTTGAAAAGGTTTTACTGAATCAAGAGGAGACTTTGGTTTGTCGTCCAGTTTAGTAGGGGCTTTGTCATACTTAGCGTCAATTGGCTTCGGTTTGTCTGCTTCCTTTAGAGGAGATTTTTCACTAACGGCGCTAAAGGGAGCCACTGATGGAGTTGGCTGACCAACAATCATGTCTTGGGGCTTGGGAATTCCAAACTCTTCATCGCTTTCATCGTCCGAATATTCTTGTTGAAAAGGTTTTACTGAATCAAGATGAGACTTTGGTTTGTCGTCCAGTTTAGTAGGGGCTTTGTCATCCTTAACGTCAATGGGCATCGGTTTGTCTGCTTCTTTTAAAGGAGATTTTTCACTAACGGCGCTAAAGGGAGCTGTGGATGGAGTTGGCTGAGCCACAGTCTTGTCATGGGGCTTCGGAATTCCAAACTCTTCATCGCTTTCATCGTCCGAGTATTGTTGTTGAATAGGGTTTACTAATCAAGAGGAGATTTTGGTTTGTCGTCCAGTTTAGTAGGGGCTTTGTCATCCTTAACGTCAATGGGCATCGGTTTGTCTGTTTCCTTTAGAGGAGACTTTTATCAACGGCGCTGAATGGAGCTGCTGATGGAGTTGGCTGACCAACAGTCTGGTCTTGGGGCTTGGGAATTCCAAACTCTTCATCGCTTTCATCGTCCGAATATTCTTGTTGAAAAGGTTTTACTGAATCAAGAGGTGATTTTGGTTTGTCGTCCAGTTTAGTAGAAGCTTTGTCATCCTTAACGTCAATTGTCTTCGGTTTGTCTGTTTCCTTTAGAGGAGATTTTTCACTAACGCCGCTAAAGGGAGCTACTGATGGAGTTGGCTGACCAACAGTCTTGTCTTGGGGCTTGGGAATACCAAACTCTTCATCGCTTTCATCGTCCGAATATTCTTGTTGAATAGGTTTTACTGAATCAAGATGAGACTTTGGTTTGCAGTCCAGTTTAGTAGGGGCTTTGTCATCCTTAACGTCAATGGGCATCGTTTTGTCTGCTTCTTTTAAAGGAGATTTTTCACTTTCGGCGCTAAAGGGAGCTACTGATGGAGTTGGCTGACCAACAGTCTTGTCTTGGGGCTTCGGAATTCCAAACTCTTCATCGCTTTCATCGTCCGAGTATTCTTGTTGAATAGGTTTTACTGAATCAAGAGGAGACTTTGGTTTATCGTCTAGTTTAGTAGAAGCTTTGTCATCCTTAACGTCAATTGTCTTCGGTTTGTCTGTTTCCTTTAGAGGAGATTTTTCACTAACGCCGCTAAAGGGAGCTACTGATGGAGTTGGCTGACCAATAGCCTTGTCTTGGGGCTTAGGAATTCCAAACTCTTCATCGCTTTCATCGTCCGAGTATTCTTGTTGAATAGGTTTTACTGAATCAAGATGAGACTTTGGTTTGCAGTCCAGTTTAGTAGGGGCTTTGTCATCCTTAACGTCAATGGGCATCGTTTTGTCTGCTTCTTTTAAAGGAGATTTTTCACTTTCGGCGCTAAAGGGAGCTACTGATGGAGTTGGCTGACCAACAGTCTTGTCTTGGGGCTTCGGAATTCCAAACTCTTCATCGCTTTCATCGTCCGAGTATTCTTGTTGAATAGGTTTTACTGAATCAAGAGGAGACTTTGGTTTATCGTCTAGTTTAGTAGGGGCTTTGTCATCCTTAACGTCAATGGGCTTCGGTTTGTCTGCTTCTTTAAGAGGAGATTTATTCCCAATTTTGTCACCTTGGAACTTGAGACAGGATCTGATGGCTTAATTATACCAACTGATTCGAAAATAGTGCTTTCGGAGTGAAGTGTTGTTGAGCTTTCATCTATTTTTGAAATTGAAACAATAGGCTTAAGATCTTCTTTCAGAAGAGATTTATCATCAACGCCGCTAAAGGGAGCTACTGAAGGAGTTGGCAGACTAAGAGTCTTGTCTTGGGGCCTGGAAATTCCAAACTCTTCATCGCTTTCATCGTCCGAGTATTCTTGTTGAATAGGTTTTACTGAATCAAGGGGAGACTTTGGTTTGTCGTCCAGTTTAGTAGGGGCTTTGTCATCCTTAACGTCAATGGGCAGCGGTTTGTCTGCTTCCTTTAATGGTGATTTTTCACTAACGGCGCTAAAGGGAGCTATGGATGGAGTTGGCTGACCAACAGTCTTGTCTTGGGGCTTGGGAATTCCAAACTCTTCATCGCTTTCATCGTCCGAGTGTTCTTGTTGAATAGGTTTTACTGAATCAAGAGGATACTTTGGTTTATCGTCTAGTTTAGTAGGGGCTTTGTCATCCTTATCGTCAATGGGCTTCGGTTTGTCTGCTTCTTTAAGAGGAGATTTATCCCCAATTTTGTCACCTTGGAAACTTGAGAAAGGATCTGATGGCTTAATTATACCAACTGATTTGATAATAGTGCTGTCGGAGTGAAGTGTTGTTGAGCTTTCTACTACTTTTGAAATTGAAACACTAGGCTTAAGTTCTTCTTTCAGAAGAGATTTATCATCTTCGCCGCTAAAGGGAGCTACTGAAGGAGTTGACAGACCAAGAGTCTTGTCTTGGGGCATAGGAATTCCAAACTCTTCATCGCTTTCATCGTCCGAGTATTCTTGTTGAATAGGTTTTATTGAATCAAGAGGTGATTTTGGTTTGTCGTCCAGTTTAGTAGGGGCTTTGTCATCCTTAACGTCAATGGGCATCGGTTTGTGTGCTTCTATTACAGGAGATTTTTCACTAACGGCGCTAAAGGGAGCTGTGGATGGAGTTGGCTGACCAACAGTCTTGTCTTGGGGCTTCGGAATCCCAAACTCTTCATCGCTTTCATCGTCCGAGTATTCTTGTTGAATAGGTTTTATTGAATCAAGAGGTGATTTTGGTTTGTCGTCCAGTTTAGTAGGGGCTTTGTCATCCTTAACGTCAATGGGCTTCGGTTTGTCTGCTTCTTTAAGAGGAGATTTATCTCCAATTTTGTCACATTGGAACTTAAGAAAGGATCTGATGGCTTAATTATACCAACTGATTTGATAATAGTGCTGTCGGAGTGAAGTGTTGTTGAGCTTTCTACTACTTTTGAAATTGAAACAGTAGGCTTAAGTTCTTCTTTCAGAAGAGATTTATCATCTACGCCGCTAAAGAGAGCTACTGATGGAGTTGGCTGACCAACAGTCTTGTCTTGGGGCTTGGTTATTCCAAACTCTTCATCGCTTTCATCGTCCGAGTATTCTTGTTGAATAGGTTTACTGAATCAAGAGGTGATTTTGGTTTGTCGTCCAGTTTAGTAGGGGCTTTGTCATCCTTAGCGCCAATTGGCTTCAGTATGTCTGCTTCTTTTAGAGGAGATTTTTCACTAACGGCGCTAAAGGGAGCTACTGATGGAGTTGGCTGACCAACAGTCATGTCTTGGGGCTTGGGAATTCCAAACTCTTCATCGCTTTCACCGTCCGAGTATTCTTGTTGAATAGGTTTTATTGAATCAAGAGAAGACTTTGGTTTGTCGTCCAGTTTAGTAGGGGCTTTGTCATCCTTAACGTCAATGGGCTTCGGTTTGTCTGCTTCTTTAAGAGGAGATTTATCCCCAATTTTGTCACCTTGGAAACTTGAGAAAGGATCTGATGGCTTAATTATACCAACTGATTTGATAATAGTGCTGTCGGAGTGAAGTGTTGTTGAGCTTTCTACTACTTTTGAAATTGAAACACTAGGCTTAAGTTCTTCTTTCAGAAGAGATTTATCATCTTCGCCGCTAAAGGGAGCTACTGAAGGAGTTGACAGACCAAGAGTCTTGTCTTGGGGCATAGGAATTCCAAACTCTTCATCGCTTTCATCGTCCGAGTATTCTTGTTGAATAGGTTTTATTGAATCAAGAGGTGATTTTGGTTTGTCGCCCAGTTTAGTAGGGGCTTTGTCATCCTTAACGTCAATGGGCATCGGTTTGTCTGCTTCTTTTAATGGAGATTTTTCACAAACGGCGCTAAAGGGAGCTATGGATGGAGTTGGCTGACCAACAGTCTTGTCTTGGGGCTTGGGAATTCCAAACTCTCATCGCTTTCATCGTCCGAGTATTCTTGTTGAATAGGTTTTACTGAATCAAGAGGAGACTTTGGTTTGTCGTCCAGTTTAGTAGGGGCTTTGTCATCCTTAACGTCAATGGGCATCGGTTTGTGTTCTTCTATTACAGGAGATTTGTCACTAACGGCGCTAAAGGGAGCTGTGGATGGAGTTGGCTGAGCCACAGTCTTGTCTTGGGGCTTGGGAATTCCAAACTCTTCATCGCTTTCATCGTCCGAGTATTCTTGTTGAATAGGTTTTATTGAATCAAGAGAAGACTTTGGTTTGTCGTCCAGTTTAGTAGGGGCTTTGTCATCCTTAACGTCAATGGGCATAGGTTTGTCTGCTTCTTTTAGAGAAGATTTTCACTAACGGCGCTAAAGGGAGCTATGGATGGAGTTGGCTGAGTTACAGTCTTGTCTTGGGGCTTCGGAATTCCAAACTCTTCATCGCTTTCATCGTCCGAGTATTCTTGTTGAATAGGTTTTATTGAATCAAGAGAAGACTTTGGTTTGTCGTCCAGTTTAGTAGGGGCTTTGTCATCCTTAACGTCAATGGGCATCGGTTTGTCTGCTTCTTTTAAAGGAGATTTTTCACTAACGGCGCTAAAGGGAGCTGTGGATGGAGTTGGCTGACCAACAGTCTTGTCTTGGGCTTCGGAATTCCAAACTCTTCATCGCTTTCATCGTCCGAGTATTTTTGTTGAATAGGTTTATTGAATCAAGAGAAGACTTTGGATTGTCGTCCAGTTTAGTAGGGGCTTTGTCATCCTTAACGTCAATGGGCATCGGTTTGTCTGCTTCTTTTAAAGGAGATTTTTCACTAACGGCGCTAAATGGAGCTGCTGATGGAGTTGGCTGACCAACAGTCTTGTCTTGGGGCTTGGGAATTCCAAACTCTTCATCGTCCGAGTATTCTTGTTGAATAGGTTTCACTGAATCAAGAGGAGACTTTGGTTTGTCGTCCAGTTTAGTAGGGGCTTTGTCATCCTTAACGTCAATGGGCTTCGGTTTGTCTGCTTCTTTAAGAGGAGATTTATCCCCAATTTTGTCACCTTGGAAACTTGAGAAAGGATCTGATGGCTTAATTATACCAACTGATTTGATAATAGTGCTGTCGGAGTGAAGTGTTGTTGAGCTTTCTTCTACTTTTGAAATTGAAACAGTAGGCTTAGTTTTTCCTTTAGAAGAGATTTATCATCAACGCCGCTAAAGGGAGCTGCTGAAGGAGTTGGCTGACCAATAGCCTTGTCTTGGGCTTAGGAATTCCAAACTCTTCATCGCTTTCATCGTCCGAGTATTCTTGTTGAATAGGTTTTACTGAATCAAGGGGAGACTTTGGTTTGTCGTCCAGTTTAGTAGGGGCTTTGTCATCCTTAACGTCAATGGGCATCGGTTTGTCTGCTTCTTTTATGGAGATTTTCACAAACGGCGCTAAAGGGAGCTATGGATGGAGTTGGCTGACCAACAGTCTTGTACTGGGGCTTGGGAATTCCAAACTCTTCATCGCTTTCATCGTCCGAGTATTCTTGTTGAATAGGTTTTACTGAATCAAGAGGAGACTTTGGTTTGTCGTCCAGTTTAGTAGGGGCTTTGTCATCCTTAACGTCAATGGGCATCGGTTTGTGTTCTTCTATTACAGGAGATTTTTCACTAACGGCGCTAAGGAGCTGTGGATGGAGTTGGCTGAGCCACAGTCTTGTCTTGGGGCTTGGGAATTCCAAACTCTTCATCGCTTTCATCGTCCGAGTATTCTTGTTGAATAGGTTTTATTGAATCAAGAGAAGACTTTGGTTTGTCGTCCAGTTTAGTAGGGGCTTTGTCATCCTTAACGTCAATGGGCATAGGTTTGTCTGCTTCTTTTAGAGAAGATTTTTCACTAACGGCGCTAAAGGGAGCTATGGATGGAGTTGGCTGAGTCACAGTCTTGTCTTGGGGCTTCGGAATTCCAAACTCTTCATCGCTTTCATCGTCCGAGTATTCTTGTTGAATAGGTTTTATTGAATCAAGAGAAGACTTTGGTTTGTCGTCCAGTTTAGTAGGGGCTTTGTCATCCTTAACGTCAATGGGCATCGGTTTGTCTGCTTCTTTTAAAGGAGATTTTTCACTAACGGCGCTAAAGGAGCTGTGGATGGAGTTGGCTGACCAACAGTCTTGTCTTGGGGCTTCGGAATTCCAAACTCTTCATCGCTTTCATCGTCCGAGTATTCTTGTTGAATAGGTTTTATTGAATCAAGAGAAGACTTTGGTTTGTCGTCCAGTTTAGTAGGGGCTTTGTCATCCTTAACGTCAATGGGCATCGGTTTGTCTGCTTCTTTTAAAGGAGATTTTTCTATAACGGCGCTAAAGGGAGCTGTGGATGGAGTTGGCTGAGCCACAGTCTTGTCTTGGGGCTTCGGAATTCCAAACTCTTCATCGCTTTCATCGTCCGAGTATTCTTGTTCAATAGGTTTCACTGAATCAAGAGGAGACTTTGGTTTGTCGTCCAGTTTAGTAGGGGCTTTGTCATCCTTAACGTCAATGGGCATCGGTGTGTCTGTTTCCTTTAGAGGAGACTTTTTATCAACAGCGCTAAATGGAGCTGCTGATGGAGTTGGCTGACCAACAGTCTTGTCTTGGGGCTTGGGAATTCCAAACTCTTCATCGTCCGAGTATTCTTGTTGAATAGGTTTCACTGAATCAAGAGGAGACTTTGGTTTGTCGTCCAGTTTAGTAGGGGCTTTGTCATCCTTAACGTCAATGGGCTTCGGTTTGTCTGCTTCTTTAAGAGGAGATTTATCCCCAATTTTGTCACCTTGGAAACTTGAGAAAGGATCTGATGGCTTAATTATACCAACTGATTTGAAAATAGTGTTCTCAGAAAGAAGTGTTGTTGAGCTTTCTTCTACTTTTGAAATTGAAACAGTAGGCTTAAGTTTTTCTTTTAGAAGAGATTTATCATCAACGCCGCTAAAGGGAGCTGCTGAAGGAGTTGGCTGACCAATAGCCTTGTCTTGGGGCTTAGGAATTCCAAACTCTTCATCGCTTTCATCGTCCGAGTATTCTTGTTGAATAGGTTTTACTGAATCAAGAGGAGACTTTGGTTTGTCGTCCAGTTTAGTAGGGGCTTTGTCATCCTTAACGTCAATGGGCATCGGTTTGTCTGCTTCTTTTAAAGGAGATTTTTCACTAACGGCGCTAAAGGGAGCTGTGGATGGAGTTGGCTGACCAACAGTCTTGTCTTGGGGCTTCGGAATTCCAAACTCTTCATCGCTTTCATCGTCCGAGTATTCTTGTTGAATAGGTTTCACTGAATCAAGAGGATACTTTGGTTTATCGTCTAGTTTAGTAGGGGCTTTGTCATCCTTAACGTCAATGGGCATCGGTTTGTCTGTTTCCTTTAGAGGAGACTTTTTATCAACGGCGCTAGATGGAGCTGCTGATGGAGTTGGCTGACCAACAGTCTTGTCTTGGGGCTTGGGAATTCCAAACTCTTCATCGTCCGAGTATTCTTGTTGAATAGGCTTCACTGAATCAAGAGGAGACTTTGGTTTGTCGTCCAGTTTAGTAGGGGCTTTGTCATCCTTAGCGTCAATTGGCTTCAGTATGTCTGCTTCCTTTAGAGGAGATTTTTCATCAACGGCGCTAAATGGAACTACTGATGAAGTTGGCTGCCAAGAGTCTTGTCTTGCGGCTTGGGAATTCCAAACTCTTCATCGCTTTCATCGTCCGAGTATTCTTGTTGAATAGGTTTTACTGAATCAAGAGGAGACTTTGGTTTGTCGTCCAGTTTAGTAGGGGCTTTGTCATCCTTAACGTCAATGGGCATCGGTTTGTCTGCTTCTTTTAGAGGAGATTTATCCCCAATTTTGTCACCTTGGAAACTTGAGAAAGGATCTGATGCCTTAATTATACCAACTGATTTGAAAATAGTGCTCTCGGAGTGAAGTGTTGTTGAGCTTTCTTCTACTTTTGAAATTGAAACTATAGGCTTAAGTTCATCTTTCAGAAGAGATTTATTATCAACGCCGCTTAAGGGATCTGCGGATGGAGTTGGCTGACCAACAGTCTTGTCTTGGGGCTTCGGAATTCCAAACTCTTCATCGCTTTCATCGTCCGAGTATTCTTGTTGAATAAATTTTACTAAATCAAGAGGTGATTTTGGTTTGTCGTCCAGTTTAGTAGGGGCTTTGTCATCCTTAACGTCAATGGGCTTAGGTTTGTCATCTTCTTTAAGAGGAGATTTATCCCGAATTTTGTCACTATGGAAACTTGAGAAAGGATCTGATGGTTTAATGATACTAACTGATTTGAAACTAGTGCTGTCTGAGTAAAATGTTGTTGAGCTTTCTTCTACTTTGGAAATTGAAACAGTAGGCTTAACTTCTTCTTTAAATGGAGACTTGTCACCAACGCCGGTGAAGGGAGTTGCGGATGGAGCGGGCTGACCAATAGTCTTGTCTTGAGGCTTGGAAATTGGAAACTCTTTGTCGCTTTCATCGGTTGAGTAGTCTTTTGGTAAAGGTTTTATTAAACTAGTGGGAGATTCTAGGTTAGTAGGTTTGGTCTGACCGTAGGCCAATCTTTGTTTGAAGCTGTTCTTCTTCACCCAATTGGCTGTACGTGTCAACTTTTCCTGTTGGAAACTTTGAAATTGTGCTTTGTTGAGTACATTCAGTATCTTTAACTAATATTGTATTTGATATATTCTCAATTTTAAGAAGTTTTAATTTTTCAATTTTCTTAAAGTTATCCAACTCTTCATCACTATCGCTGTCGATTTGCTTTAAAATAATTTTAGGCTTCCCATCGGATGGAAATTTAGTGTGTGCATCTTCAGTCATTGAAACCAGTTCAGTGGTCTTCGAGATCGAATGCTGGAGGCCCTCAAGCTGGATTACATCATCTTGGGTTGGAAATTTGCTAGATGTATTCCTTTCTACGAGTTTGTGTTCCTTCTGTGCTAAGGACTGGTCAACTAGGTTATCCAACTTCTTCTCAAATTCACTGGCTTCGTGGGCAAACTCCTTTGTGTGATCAATGTCTGTTTTAGAAATGGAATGTAATCGTTCCAAGGTGTGTGCAATTTTAGGAAATTCTACAAGTTTAATGTTCTTAGTCGATTCTATTGGAAATTCTTGCTTATCACATTCTTTTAATAATCTAATTTGACTCTCTGTAATCTCTGTCAAGCCTTCGCGAACAATACTATTAGTCTCAAAATCATGAATACTTTCAGTTACGTGGACTTTGGTAGACTCATGGTCAAGGAACTTGGCTGTGATCGACTTGACGTCGTCAATTTCTAGTACACTTTCCGTGTTTTCTTGATCTTCGTTGGCCTGTGCCATATCTGAAATTATGCGCTTAGAGCACTTCTTTTCACAGACGTCTTCGAGGTTTTCAATACTGTCGCTCGCCTTGGCCATAGCCGAAAGGGGTGAGTGCACTTTCTGCTCCGGAACGCTCTTTGAGCCTAACCCATCTAAAATCAGATCGGCATCGCTTAAAATTTGCTGCTCTATAATGGAAACATCCACCTTACGGTCCTGAGCTGACTTGGTTCGTGGACTAAACGGCTTGGCCTCCAGGCTCGAGACTGGATATCTGCGTTCAATATCCTGCACTACTTCCCTCACCCTTGGCAATGAGTCAATGGCTTCCTTATCCCCTAAGTCTTTATGCTCTTCAATAGTTTCAGTTAAAATCTTGCCAGGTACCAATTCTACTTGCCTGCCTAATCCTATTACCTGTTCCTTTAAAGTCTTTTCCGTTTCACATAAGTCTTCAGCCACCTCAAAGGCCTTACGCTTCTCACAAACTTTCTCGCAAACTTCCTCCTCAATCTCTTTTAAGCCAAGGCTCACATGTTCCATGGACTCGATGGGCGAAATTTTGACTACCTCTGTCGGCAGTTCGCACTTGATTAACTTATCCAGAGCCAAGTCCGCTGGCGTTAATATTTGCTTCTCCAGTTCCACTACATTGGGTTCCTTGTCATCTTCGTGAGGCTGCCGCTTCTGCACGGCGAAAGGAATGGCCGATACCATTGTACTGCAGATCTTATCCTCGATGCTCTGCACCACCTCTCGCACCACCGGCACATTGTCGCCAATATACTTGGGTATCACAGCCGTTTGCTTGACACTCGAATCCAATGATTCTGTACTGCCGCTGCTCTCCAAACGCATTACCTTGCGTCTAACATCACCACAGCCCATAATCTGCTCTAAGTACTCCCTATCACTGGCAGCCTTTTCAGCATCTATATCTACTGGTGACCGATCCTTGGGTAACTTCTCTCGCGGAAGCTCTGGTTTATCTTTCTCTGGGATGGTCAAGTCAACTATGGTTCGATCTACTTGCGCTGTTAAGGTCGTTGTGGTTGTCATCTTCGGTGTTTGACTACTTGAACTCATTTCTGTAAATGAGGTAGTGTCTGGTGAGTACATTTTCGGAATATCGGGGGAGCTACCACACTATGAAGCAGCTTATCAGTTTCATCTGTTCTTGTAAAGGTTTCGGATTTTACATTATGAACACTGAAGTGCTCTGTTTGAGGCATTCCGCGATGGCAAAATTGGTATTGGTTTTTGTTTAGAAGTAGCAGTAGAGTGGAGTAGAAAACATGGCAATATAAAGACAGTTAACACCGATTACAAGTCAACCATGGGGCTTAATGGTGGGTTAGTCTATGTACACAGTGCAATTGAGTTGCCGACATACAAAGATATGTCGTACATTAATATATATTCTTACTACAAGCTGTACGCCAAAAACCCAGCAGCAGGCACAATCATGCAATTAATGCTTATTGAAGTTATTCGAGAAGCGAAATCAAAATATATATCCTTCGCACTTGACGATGCCAGATGAAGCTTAGCTTAGCTTAGCGGAGCTGAGCTGCATTCAGCCGCATACGTATAGATGCTGCATATGAGGTCGTGGATTATTGGGCCCATTGCTGCACACAAAAATTCAATGCTTCGAGTACGATTTTTGAGCTGAACTGATTACGTTTGCATATTTTTGGTTTTGCAAATATTTAAGCAATGTTTATGTTGATTACGAAATCAAAAGTGGCAAAATTGGCTAAAGTACTGCAAGAATAATAACAACCACGACATCATATGTCACATACTCGTACGCTATATAATGTGATCTATTAATTAACAACCATTACATAAAGAAGCTCGCTGGGTTGGTGGGTCTGGGGGTGCAAACAAACATAGGTTGGTTATATGGTGGTCTAATATATGTAGTTGTGGCTGTTGGCTTTAAAAATCGCAAATAATGACAAAGAGTACGAGTATAGGAGTACGATATGCTATTTACTATATAGATATGCTACTGTGAGAACTGGATGTGTTTGACTTAACATTCAGTTACAGTACACTAATATCATTAGATATATATGATAGATATATATTTATATAGGCTTTTTCGTTAGGAATTGCTAAAGTTACGAAAAGCAACAGAACACATAATTATTTGCTGAAAACAAATCAAACATAAACATTGCAAACTGAAGGCCATGGTGGTTGTTTTTTTTTATTGGAGTGTTCTTCGATGAGTCCTCATATGGAGATCGGAACGTGACCAGAGATCATCTCAGTCAGCTGCTAGTTGATCCCCATATGGGTAAAGTTTAATTTGGTTTTTTTTTCAATTTCGGAAATCCAAAAGTATGCCAAAAGTGTTTATCTTAATGAAAAAAATCTTGTAGTAATTGGTAAACGTATATCATATATAGGTAGTATATTGTAGATTACATGGCATGGCTTATCCATAGATCCATCTATAGACCAATGTTATTTACGAGTATATTTAAACAAGGTTATTACATATGTTAACACAAATTGAAGTATTTTAACTGTAACTTGCAGCAGTAGTAGTAGTAGTAGTAGATTACGAAACATAAACTCAATTGCTTAAATAGTTGGTCAAAAATTGCAAACGTAATTGGTTACACCATGAGAGCTGAGTGGAAAACAATGAGGTACAGCCCTAACAGGAAACGATACCCATCATAAACATAAGTCTTAATGCTGTGGCAACTTTTCAAATTGATTGTAATTATACATGGGAACTTACCATTAAGATACAATAGGCTTAAAGTTACTTTAGTGTTTGGTTAAGTTTATTTAATTAGTTTATGCCGTAGCGCACTGAATGAACTTTAAAAACACAAATCGTAATTGCTGAGTAACTTCACTTTTTAGAATTTGCAGGCATTCTATTCTGTAATAATTCCTATTTCTTCACTTTAAAGCATCGAAATTCACAGAGACGCGTTGCTGTCTGATTTTCGGATCGCGCGTACTTGGGAAATACAAATTCGAAACTAAATCTGTTTGGAAAGCGCGCCTATAGCCGTACTGCAAGAATGCCAGAAGCAAATTAAATTAAGTATACGCCACCGCTCGGCTTTCGGTCGCTAGTTGGCTGGCCCCTGGCCCTATGACATAAGTGCGCAACGGTCGGATTGCTCACGATGGCAGTGGCAAAGGCAAATTGCACAGACGCCAATTATATAAGAAAACCCCTGGAAAATGCTATTAACTGTGGATGCCTTTCGAACGCTAATGGGCTAATAGGCTTTTGCCAGTCAACGGGAATGTTTCCTCCACCGATCGGAGAGCCTGTCGAGAGTAAAGTTACCGGTGCACAATCGATTCACTGATCAATATATCGATTCACTGTCCCACTGACATTGACACCTCTGAATGTTACGTATACGCAGATATATCTACGGCGCCAGCTAGACAATTAGCGATGTTTCTGCGACCTTTCGTCAGTGTTAACGTAATTGGATTAGCCATGCATACTTGGCAACCTAGCACTGGCTTTCTTTGGAAGTTAATTTCTGCCAGAATTTGTGGCCACGTTCATTCAATGCGCTACGGTCTGGCGGTTTTTATTTGGGAGATTGATAAATCCTTGTTAGCTTAGATTTATGGCACATTCACTGCCGCACTTACAGAATTTTTTTTATTAAGATACACACAGTAGCAGTTAGCAGTTTGCCGTTCAAGTTTATAAATACAATTAACTAACAGTTCTTGGATCGCAATCGTTTAATGGTTGAATGGTACTTTGCATACAAAAAGCCTTTGGACTTAAATCATGACGAAATGTAGAGGTACAGAGAGAGGTGGGAGTAACATAATGGGAACTAATGGGAACGAAATTAAAAACAGTTCAAGAAACACTACAGATTGTGGCGAAAATGAAAAAAGGAAATGTATATTAAAAAGAAGGGGTGTACATTAAATAATAATTACAGATTTATATTTTTTTTATCGAAAAAGGCAAACATAGGAACTTAAATATAAAATCATTTTACATAACAATTACAAATTGCATAGAAATTGAGCATAGAGGCAGCCACTCATTTCAAGACTTGCACTTACCAATTTTGGTAATGGCAGAGACGCGCTCAAATGTCGACTCTGTGGTCGAGTGCAGCGTGGTCACAGTGTCTTCCAGATAATCTTTAATTAAATTTATTAAATACCTAAAACATGACAGAGCTTAACTTGAGGAACTTACCACGCTCTAAGCTAATCAGTTCGGGCTGCTCGGTCTGCTTCTCGGTTTTGGTGTCACTTGGAGTTGGCGGAGGAGTCATAGAGTGTGGAATGTCGCTCGCTGAAGATGTCATAGTTAGGAATAAGAAAGGTAATGTCTAAGGGATAGCTTACCCATTTTCTTGAGCTCATCGGTTATTTCAATCACGCCCTCGCTCATTTTCTTGGTGATAGTTTCGCCCACCGATTTGCAGAACTCCGCATCGGTCAGAGATTTGCGTGGCTCCATCGACACGGGAGCAATGAGTGCCTCTTGTTTGATTGTTTCGGTCAGTGGAATAGTGGCCCCTTTGCCAAAAGTGTCGCTGTCGTATTCAGTAGCCAGCCTTTGAGACTCTTGGGTCACCACACTGGTGGTCAGTTTGGGAGTCTGGAATAATGAAACATCACCAACTGGGGCCGCCGACTCGATGCCATCGATTAGCTTATCTGAAGGCTTTGAATCACCGCTAATAATTTGAGATGGCAGTTGGGTTTGCTGCTCCATGTTCAAAAAGTCCTCAGTGAGCCGGCGCTCATTCAAAGGTTTTGGTTTCTGTGTCTGATCTACTTGCTGCTCTGCGGTCTTTGTTACCTCATCTACGAGTGTCTTGGCGGGTTCGGACATCAGTTGGGTTTGCTGCTCCATGCTCAAGAAATCAGCGGTGAGCTGACGCTCATTTAATGGCTTCTTTTCGCTTGGTTTCACAGGCTCATTTAATGGCTTCTTTTCGCTTGGTTTCACAGGCTCCGGTTCGATCAGTGGCTTTGGAGTTTCTTCGACCAGGGTCTTCCTGGGTTCAACAACAGGTATCTTACTTGCTGGCGGTAAAGGTTTCACAGATACCACCGAATCTGGTTCCGAGGCTGAGGTGGATGTAAGACTGGACTCAAGAGGTTTTTCAGCGGCATAGGGCATGCTCGACAGTTGGGATTGCTGCTCCATGCTAAGGAAATCATGGGTTAGTTTGCGAGCTTCGGAGGTGGTTATCTGCTCCTCGATCTTGTGGAATGTTTCGACAACATCGGCTACCTTTTCTGCCACCTTGTCTTCTTTGAAATGAGTCTGTAACAGAGGCTTGTCTTCAACCTTTACCAAGTCCTCCACTTTGCTGGAAATTTCTGACGTCTTCTCAGACTTGGTCACCTTCTCCTCGATCTTGTGGAATGTGTCAACTAGTTCGGAAACCTTTTCGGCAACAGTATCAGCCTTGGCGGCAATTTCCGGCTGCTTGACGGACTTGTCCTTGAGCTGCTCTGCACCCAGACCTGCTGTCATTATGGTCGCGGTAGATGATACTACATCATCTAAGATCTTCGACTCCTTCTCGACCACTTTCTCTACTGATTTCCTAGGTTCCACCTTTGGAATTTTGCTGGCTGCTGGGGCTGGCTTAGGCTCTGCGGCTAATTTCTCACTCTGCAGAAAGTCTTGGGTCATCTTTCGAGCATCGACTTCTGATGCAGATGTCTTTACTGGAATCTTTGAGATCGGCTTCTCGGATTTGGTATCTACTGCAGACTCAATTTCGGGCTCAGCCGCAGCACGTGGAGCTGCAGTAGGCTTCATAGAATCCTCGCTGGGTTTCCTCGTGAACTTAGGGATCTGTGTCTTGGGTTCGCCACCATGGAAGTCATACTTAACCTTCTTGGCTTCGAAGTCGGCAATGGTTTCCTCAATACTAGAGCTCTCAATTACTTGGACCGTCTTCTTTTGCTCTTGGGCAATCGTCTTGACATCTTCTAGGTGCTTAATGGTCTCGCTAACCTTTGTTGATTCGGAAGTCGCCTGGGTAGGTAGAACAACCGTTGCCTCTTGAGGTTTGGTGGTCTCGAAGGAGCTAATTATG